TCCTTCTGATACAGCAGATCACAGATTGGGGTACAGAGCATTGTAGAAATCACCCTGTGATATTTGTTTTCACAATCTGACACTACATCAGCCAGTCAGGGTCCCTAATTACTAGCTGCCCCAGTACAATGTCACTATGGTGACACTGTTCTGGGGTGTGATTAGTGATCAAGGACACTGGCTGGCTGCTCTGGTGACACCGTATGCCAGAGATCCATTATCTCCTGCGCTCAAAGACTCAGATCAAACAGGCGTTAGTGACAAGCAGCGTGTTGTGTGTTCATCAGCTGGTGATCAGAGGTTGTGCAGCTCTATCATGAAGCTGGGGAAGCTTAATAAAACTGTAACGGAAGATGAAAGAAAGAGCGCACAAACCTTGCGCATTACCTCAATAAATAGTGACTAATTTTATTATTAAGGAAATATACTCACAAAGTGATGGTATAACAGGCATAAGTAACCATAATCCAAACAGGGTTACAGGTAAATCCAAAAGGGGGGGGGTATGCCAGGGCAGCCAGGCTTTGTCACTGATCACTAACCACAAAGTGCAGTCTCACTATACCACTGCAGCCAGTCAGAGCTGCCCTGATTCCACATCAGTACATTGTCACTTTATCACTTCAGCCAGCCACAGAGTCTCTGTTCACTGCCACACTAGACCAATGCAGCCAGCCAAAGTGTCCCTGATCACTGCCACACCACTACAGTACTGCTATACTAATGCAGCCAGCAACAATGTACCTGATCACCCCTATATTAGTGTAGCCAGCAACAGTGTACCTGATCTCCACCACAGTAGTCCCAGTGTGACCAGACAAGTGCAACCAGCAACAGTGTTCCTGACCTCCACCACATGATTGTCAGGGTCACAGCCCAGTGAAAGCCTGTAACAGTGTTCTTGATCACTGCCACATGACTTCCAGTCCACCAGTCCAGTGTAATCCAACAAAAGCTTACCTGGGCACTTCCACACCATTCCCAGCATCACCAGACCACAGTTTTCTGATCGCCACCATATCAGCAGCCAGCAATTTTGTTCCTGTTTGCCACCATACCAAAGACATTGACCCAAACTTGTTCAGCCAGCAACAGTGTTCATGATTACCATCATATGTGTCCCAGTGCACTCAGACCAGTGCAGCCAGCAACAGTGTTCCTAATCACCGCCACATGAGTCAGAGTGTCACCAGACAAAAGCAACAAGCAACAGTGTTACTGATCTCTGAAAAAGCCATCCCAGTGTCACCAGACCAGTGGAAGCCAACAACAGTGTTCCTGATAGTCACCCAGTGTTACCAATCTGGTGTAAGCTAGTAACAGTGTTCTTGATTGCCATCACACCAGTCCCAATTTCAAAATACCAGTGCAGCCAGCAATAATGTTCCTGATCACTACCAGATGACTCTCAGTGTCACCAGACCAGTGTACACCAGCAACAGTGTACCAATTGGCTGCCACACCAGCAGCAAGCAACAGTGTTCTTGATAGCTGCCATACAAGTGCCAGTGTCACTAAAGTCAGTGCAGCCCACAACAGTGTCCCTGATCACTGCCTCACCAGTCCCAGTATAACCAAAGTCAATACACCCAGCAGCAGTATCCTGGATCGCTGCCATAGTATTCCCAGTGTCACCAGACAAATGTAAGCCAGCAACAGTCTTCCTGATCATTGCCATACCACTCTCAGCTTCACCAGACCAGTGCAGCCAGCAACAATGTTCCTGATCACTAGCCATACCAGTCCCAGCACCTCCAGATTCAGTGCAGCCAGCAACAGTGTACCTGACCACTGCCACATCAGTAGTGTCAGCAAAGCCAGTGAAACCAGAAATAGTGTCCCTGATCACTGCCTCACTAGTCCCAGTATAAACAAAGTCAATACAGCCAGCAGCAGTGTCCTGGATCGCTGCCATAGTATTCCCAGTGTCACCAGACAAATGTAAGCCAGCAACAGTCTTCCTGATTACTGCCACATCACTCTCAGCTTCACAAGACCAGTGCAAACAGCAACAGTGTTCCTGATCACTAGCCATACCAGTCCCAGCACCACCAGATCCAGTGCAGCCAGCAACAGTGTCCCTGATCACTGCCACACCAGTGTAGTGTTGCCTCTGCCTGCTGACAGTACTAATCCATGGCCTGTTTATTGATTATGTCTCTGCCTGCCACCATCTGCATTCCCCACTGACAACTTTCCTGACAGACACCAGTTTTAGCCATTCTATGCGAATAAATGCATTATTGGAACTACACCTCTTGTTCAGCCTCCTGTACTTCCTGGCCAGTAAACATAGCATTCCTGGGGGCAGCCACACACCAGTAGGCTAGGTTCACTTGGCTTATAGTAATTATTATTATTATACAGGATTTATATAGCGCCAACAGTTTGCTCAACGCTTTACAATATAACGTGAGACAATACAGCAACAATACAGTTCAATACAAGAGGGATAGGAGGGCCCTGCTCCTTGGAGCTTACAATCTAGGAGGGAGGGGCTAGTGGTACAAAAGGTAGTAACTGTGGGGGATGGACTGGTTGGAAGAGTAGAAGATTCCATTATTAGCTGAGGGCAGGATAGGCTTTCCTGATGAGATAGGTTTTCAGAGATCACCTAAAAGTGAGCAGAGTAGGCGATAGTCTGATAAATTGGGGTAGAGAGTTCCAGAGGATGGGGGAAGCTCTGGAGAAGTCCTGGAGACGAGCATGGGAGGAGGAGACAAGGGAGCTAGAGAGTAGGAGGTCTTGCGAGGAGCGGAGAGTACGGTTTGGGTGGTATTTGGAGATAAGATCGGTGATGTAATTTGGGGCAGAGTTATAAATGGCTTTATATGTTATTGTTAATGTTTTGAATTTTATCCGTTGGGCAATGGGAAGCCAGTGGAGGGATTGGCAGAGAGGGGTGGCAGATACAGAATGTTTAGTAAGGTGGATGAGTCTGGTAGCAGCATTCATGGTAGACTGAAGAGGGCTAGCCTGCGATTAGGTAAGCCAATGAGGAGGGAGTTACAATAGTCAAGGCGTGATATAACAAGGAAGTGAATAAGTTGCTTAGTGGTTTTCCAAGGTTAGGAATGGCCATATCTTGGGGATGTTGCAGAGGTGAAGTCTACAAGATTTGGACAGTGATTGGATTTGGGACTGAAAGGACAGATGGGAGTCTAGGATTACACCTAGAACCCTGGAATGAGGGGAGGGACTGATGATTGTGTTATTGATCTTGGTGGAGAAGTCAGGGAAGGGGGCACGGGCTGAGGGGAATACTAAGAGCTCAGTTTTGGAAAGATTGAGTTTGAGGAAGTGGAGTGTCATCCATGCCGATATGTCACTTAGTAGGTTAGTAATGCGAGAGGAGACTGAAGGGGTGAGGTGAGGGGTAGAAAGATAGATTTGTGTGTCATCAGCATAGAGATGGTACTTAAAGCCATGGGAGTTTATCAAGTCACTAAAGGAGGAGGTGTAGATGAAGAAGAGAAGAGGTCCAAGGACAGAACCTTGAGGGACCGCTACAGAAAGAGGGAGTGAAGAGGAGGAGGCAGCGTTATAGGTAATGCTGAAGGAGCGCTGCAATAGGTAGGAGGAGAACCAGGAGAGAGCAGAGTCTTGGAGGCCAAGAGAGTGGAGTTTTTTGAGGAGGAGGGGATGGTCAACCGTATCAAAAGACGCAGAGAGGTCAAGTAGTAAGAGTACGGAGTAGTGGCCATTGGTTTTAGCAGTTAGTAGATCAGTTAGTAGATTAGTGAGTTTTAGTAGGGCAGTTTCAGTGGAGTGTAGTGAGCGAAAGCCAGACTGTAAAGGGTCAAGAAGGTTGTTGTCAGTGAGGTGGGAGCTCAGGCGATTGTAGACTAAGCGTTCTAGGAGTTTAGAGGTAAATGGCAGCAGGGAGATGGGTCTTAAGATGTTCAGGTTGGTGGGGTCCAGGGAGGGCTTTTTAAGTATGGGAGTGATGTGCGCATGCTTTAGAGGGGAGGTGAAGGCACCATTAGAGAGGGAGAGATTGAAGATGTGAGTGAGGGAGCATAAGATGGAAGAAGAGGATGACTGTAGTAGTTGTGAGGGGACAGGATCCAGGGGTCAGGTAGTGAGACGGGCTTCTGAGAAAACCTTAGTGACCTCTTCAGTAGTAGCAAGGTCAAAAGAGGAAAGTGTTGAGGGAGGTTTAGTATAAGGTTTGCTAAGTGGGATGGATGTCTGTGCAGTGGCAATGCCCCTACGAATTGCGTCAATCTTGTTTTTGAAATGATTTGCAATCTCGTGAGCAGTGAGTGAGGTACTGGGTGGAGGTGGAGAAAGTAGAGAGTTAAAAGTAGAGAAGAGGCGATGAGGACTGGATGACAAGGTTTCAATAAGAGTGACAAAGTCGGCTTGTTTGGCAGCATGAAGGGAAGAATTGTATGTTAAGAAAGCAGATTTATATAGGGAGAATGCTTGTTGAGATTTGGTTTTACGCCACAATCACTCCAGCGCACGACTATGTCACTTAACCTCCCTAGTGGTCTGATTATGTCAGTATTTCTGTGCTCAAAGCGGTACATTTTTTTGCATGGAAATATGTATTTTTTTTATTGTAGGCTTGCAATTTTTAGGAATAACTCACTGAAATCTGTCCGAACAAGAGTCTAGTAAACATCCCGGGTAGGATAAAATTTAAAACACGAAATCATAAATTATAATTTAAAAAATAATAATATAATAATAATAAATTTAATTCAATAATATAATCAAACCAAAAACACTGAAATTTGAAATATAGCGCCAAGTTCGCACATCACTGAGCAAAGTCGCAAAATCGTTTTCAGTGTCTGATGACGAATTTCCCCCCGAATCATTATCACTCAATTCTGCAAGTGGTTCTAATTTACTATCGCTGTTCTCTAGCTGGTCTAAAACCGGTTTTGACCTAAAGGGACGCTTTTTGGACACCATGGACGTTTCTCAGTTCCAGGCAGAAAGAACGGTACAAGTGCAGGCAGGGCACAGGACAAAGCACTCGGGACAAAATGTATGTGAAATGGGTTGATACAGTAAATGTTTTACTATGTGATTTTAGTGTATTGAGTGAATGTCACTTTTTGTCATTTTCAAATTTCCCGCCGTTCTGTCCCCCATACATCCCGACGCTCGCAGGGGACGGAACCCAGGTGACAGATGCCAGCATCCGCCAGATTACATTGCCGGGGACACTGCAGGAGGGACATCGCGGGAGCACAGGACAAGGTAAGTGAAGAACAGATGCCGGAGCAGCGCCGCATGGTAAGCCCGAGTGTAGCTCGGGGTTACCGCTTTTGGTACTGAAACTTTACCCCGAGCTACACTCGGGAATACCGTTAGGGAGGTTAAGATTCCTGGTGTCGTCAGTCTGCCAAGGTTGCAATGGTCGGTGCCTGATGCGTATTGTTAGAGGAGCAAGTGAGCCTAATGTGAATGAAAGTGAACTGTTGTAGACAGAAGTGGCCAGGTCAGGGCAGGACAGGGGAGAGATTCTGTCATAGAGTTGGTCAGCTGTAGAGTGGAAAGGAGCAGGGTTAAAGCTGTGAAGGTTTCTGCGGGTAATTGTTTGCTGCTTGGAGGGATAGGTGTTTGAAGATGAAGACACTGTGAAGGTGATGAGATTGTGATCAGAGAGAGGAAAGGGGGTGTTTGTGAGGTTGTAGGGAGTGCAAAGATGGGAGAAAACAAGGTTTAATGTATTCCCATCAGAGTGAGTGGAGGACTGTATACAATGTGCTAATGCAAAAGATGAGGTTATGTTGAAGAGTTCGGATGTAGCTGGGTTGTTGACATGAATAGGGATGTTAAAATCTCCAAGAATGATAGTGGGTAGTTCAGAGGAGAGAAAGTAGGGTAGCCAGGCGGAGAAATCATCAAGAAAGCGGGACACCTGTCCAGGATCACTGCAATCCTCAGAGAAATGGGAGAAAACAGCCGAATGCAGTGAGTCTCAAAAGAAGAGAAGGATAGAGAGGGAGGGTTGTAGAGGACTTGAAAGGTGCTCAGTGGGGATAGAAGCAAACCAACTACACCACCTTTCCGACCACTGGGTCTGGGTGAGTGGGTTCAGAGAAGGCATCCATAGGAAAGTGCTGTGGGAGAAGAAGAATCTGCTGCTTGAAGCCAGGTTTCTGTAATTGCTAGTAGGTTAAGGGAGCGGGAGACAAAAAGGTCATGGACAGAGGTGAGCTTATTACAGACAGAGCGGGCATTCCAGGGCGCACATGAAAAAGGGAGGGTGGATTTTGGAAGCACGGGGATGGATATTAAATTGAGGGGATTGCGGCTTTTTCAGGAAGAAAGAGGATGCCTGGTGTGGGGGTGAGATACTGGAGGACCAGGGTTTGGGGAGATATCCCCAGAGGTTAGGAGAAGAAGAAGGGTGAGGAAAGTAACCTGGGAGCGGGATGTACACGAGTGCACATGCCTTCCAGTCCTGGTGTTTGGGTCAGCAGGAGAGTGAAGTATCAGCAGGAGGTGATGAGAGCAGTAGTAGGGAGATGGTAGCAGTGAGGGTGAGATGTACAAGTTTTGGGGTGGAGCAGAGGGGTAAAGAAATGAGATTTTGGGAATGCAGGATAGTAATATGAAAAGGAGGAGCAGAGGGGACATATTAAAAGGTACACGGAGTGGGACTCAGACTTGTAGGAGATGTTTCCCAGGGTGTTTGCTTGCAGTCTGTCCAGCGCGCAGTAGAGTTTCTTCTTATATCTTCCTCTGCTTGAGTTATCCTTCTTTAGTTAAACTGCTGTGTTCAACTGCTTCTTAGCACTCCATAAAAAACAGCACTCACGCAGAAAACAGCATTCCATCTGTGACTATGACCCCCCCCCCCGTCTGTGAACCCCCCACATGAGCTTATCTAAATTTATAGGGAGATGGTCAAATGAGCACTCTTCTCCACCCCAATTAGGAACTGATAAGGATCACATGAATTGGGGGGGATGTTTCTCAAACACAGACCAGACACAGGCCACAGTCATAAAAAGTGCAACAAGAGGTGAGAATCAATCAACACAGACAAAAATATATACACTATTTGTTCTGAGATTAGCAGGAGTCTATGCGTTTTTGAGGTTGCAGTTTAGAGTGGAGAGAGCAGACAGCAGCAATTTAGTAATGAGGAATTCTACTGCTGACTACACTAAGCTATATTCCCTGACCACTTAAACACTAGATTTACAGTACACTGTTTTTTGATACAATGCTGCTTGATTTTTGTCATACACTGTCGCATGGATAATCAATCCAAACACTGAAAAAGTCTCACACATGCAGTATCCCCATACTCAGGAGGAGTAGAAGAATTTGTTTTAGGTTTTGTGTGGGAAATATCTAATTAAATTGAAGAGTTTGTGTAAAAAAAAAAAAATACATTATAATTACATTTGCTTGAAAAGGGATATGTGTACAAGACTTTGCTGTTGAAAGGTCATTTATTTCAGGTGAGAGAATGCCCATATGAGTGGTGGTGGTACTTGCTGGACCACCTATATAAAAGTTGATTTCATCAATTGGTTTTATCACTTGTGGAAGACATTAAACTCTGCCACATACTGTATATGTGGCATCCAGCAAGTGGGCTTTAAACCTGGGTGCTGCATATATGTGTTCTTGTGTTTGTGCTCCCAGCACTGAGACAGAGCTGTCAGAGAACTGGATCTTGGTCACATGATCATTGTGATAGCTTCTGATTGGCTATCACAGTGATCACTCACTGTTTAATCCTTCCCTGTATTGCCTCCTCTCTGTGAAGAGGAGAAACAACAGACTTGTCTGCTAACGAGGAGAAAACAACACATTGGGGTTGATTTACTAAAACTGGTGAGTGCAAAATCTGGTGCAGCTGTGCATGATAGCCAGCCTTCTTCTAATTTCAGCTTTTGCAGTTAAGCTTTGACAATAAAAACTGGAAGCTGATTGGTTTCTTGCAGAGCTGCACCAGATTTTGCCTCTAAATTCTTAGTAAATCCACCCCATTGCATCTATTCCTCCTTGTTAAAGCGGAGTTCCACTCACTGTCAAAAAATAAAAGTCAGCAGCTACAAAAACTGTAGCTGCTGACTTTTAAAAACCACACACTCACCTGTCTCTCGGTCCCACGGTGTGTCCCCTGCAGCCCGTTTTACCGGCCATCTTCTCTCCCTGGCGTCGGCATCTTCAGTGTAGGCACCCGGTTGTGACAGCTTGCGGCTTCACAGCTGGGTACCCACTGCGCATGTGCGAGTAACGCTGCGCTTCCTGAATGGTGCTGTAGTCTGCTGGGACCTGTCACATGTCCCAAAAGACTATGGGAAGGAAGGAAGGGAGGAAACCCTCCACTTCCGATCGCCTAGGCCAGTGGTCGGCAACCCGCGGCTCGCGAGCCACATGCGGCTCTTTACACATTTTGATGCGGCTCTTCTGTGTGCCGGGCGCCCGCTCCCCTCCCTCCTCTCGGGCGGCCGCCCCAAAAGTCAGGACTCTGCAGCTAGCCCAGCAATGGGCAAACTACGGCCCGGCGGACCTTTTAATCCCACGGAGCGTGGCAAACATTGGCTGTCAGGATGTAGGCGGGGCAGCGTGACGAACTCATCTCCTCTCACAGTCCGCCCTGAAGACCGGAACGGCGCGGGAACACGGCGAGAGGAACGCGCGGAGCAAAGGTAAGTGAATTGACACAATATGGGGAATGAATTACTATATGGGGGATGAATTACTATATGGGGGATGAATTACTATGGGGGATGAATTACTATGGGGGATGAATTACTATATGGGGGATGAATTACTATATGGGGGATGAATTACTATATGGGGGATGAATTACTGAATATGGGGGATGAATTACTATGGGGGATGATTTACTATGGGGGATGAATTACTATGGGGGATGAATTACTATATGGGGGATGAATTACTATGGGGGATGAATTACTATATGGGGGATGAATTACTATGGGGGATGAATTACTATATGGGGGATAAATTACTATGGGGGATGAATTACTATATGGGGGATGAATTACTATATGGGGGATGAATTACTATGGGGGATGAATTACTATATGGGGGATGAATTACTATATGGGGGATGAATTACTATGGGGGATGAATTACTATAAGGGGGATGAATTACTATATGGGGGATGAATTACTATATGGGGGATGAAATTACTATATGGGGGATGAATTACTATGGGGGATGAATTACTATATGGGGGATGAATTACTATGGGGGATGAATTACTATATGGGGGATGAATTACTATGGGGGATGAATTACTATGGGGGATGAATTACTATATGGGGGATGTATTTTCAGTTTTAAAAATGTGGCTCTCAAAATAAATTTCAATCGTGGTTTTGGCGAGATTTGGCTCAGTTGAAAAAAAAGGTTGCCCACCACTGGCCTAGGCGATCGGAGCGGAAGTGGGAGTGGGAGTGGGTACCTGTCAAATTCGGGTACCTGCTCCCCCCCTGCCCCCAAAGGTACCAATCCTTAATGGGGAGTGGGGGACCAGTCTTTAAAGGGGAACTTCCCCTTTTGGGTGGAGCTCTGCTTTAAGGAGAAGTCTGTACAAACAAAAAAGTTTGTTGAAAAAAAAAATATTAACTAGTTCATTGCTTTACCTAGCTAAACATGTGTAGGTGGCAGTGTAGGTATCAATGTTAGTGTCAATCATTGACAGTGTGCTACTCAGTGTCAGTGAAGATTAGTGGCAGTGTAATTGTCAGTCAGTGTTAGTGTCAGTGCGTTTAGGTAAGAAAAAAATGGTTTTATATAGAGTGTTAGTGTCAGTCTGTTTTGTTAGGACAAAAAAGTACTATTGTTTCTTGGCCCTACTAGGGGTACAAAGAACAAATCACATACACATATTTGGTATCACCACAATTGTCAGGAATAGGAAAATTTATGTTGCTTTTTTTTTTTTGATGATGATGGTACATAATAAGGGCACAAAAATATACAGCTAAATTAAAAAAAAGTGTTTTTTACTATTTTGGGCCAGTTTTCCTTTGATAATAAAATTAAAAAGACATTGATTAATATTTCCTACCAAATGAAAGCCCAATCTGTCTTGAAAAAAACAAGGTATAATCCACTGGAAGTAGTTGCAATGATATGCACAGTATTATTAACACATGCCAAAGTTGCAAAATTGGGCTTGGGCGTTAAGGTTTGTTTTGACTTTGCCATGAAGGGGTTAATAATGTTTGGACACTATTGTTTGTTTGTTCTGAAGTTTTCACTGTTTTGTGCTATTTTGGACACTGTTTTTGCAGTTTATTATGGATTTATGAACGCTTGTGTGTTAAAAGACTATTTCACATATGTTTGTACACTTAATATAATGTGTTATAATATTCTT